ATCTTCACCGCTTCCTGGATCTGCCCACCACTATTCCGGTGGCTTAAACGATTCACTCTTTGCTCATCCGCAGAATTTATAAATTTAAACGATAGTAAAAATGCAACATGTTATAATATGGAGCAGAATGATTAAAATTGCAGTCTTTAGACAGGTGGTTGCACCAGTTGCTAGCTTTATTACAGCAGGGAAAGTTAACTTAATCTTTTCTTCAGTTTCCACATTCAAAACAATAAGAATACTAAAAATTTACCTCAAAGGTTTATGCAGAGACTATCATGATGATATAGGTATGCTGTTAGCACACAATCTGATATATAGTAGATGCTAAATGCTAGCCATTGTAATTGTTTCATTAATTTTTTCAGTGCATTAATATCTACTGTGCATTGTCTTAGTAAACAACAGAAAAGGTTCCTGCTTTTATTGAGCCAGAAAGTGTTCTCCAATCATTTTGTATTATTGTTTATATATTATTTAAAACAACCCCACTGAATAGCATTTCCTGAGGTACTACTGTTTTGTTATTAAATTGTATGCTATACGCAATTATGGATACAGCTTATCACCCCTTTGTAAGTCAACTACCTAGTGCTGTTTCCTTAGTTTGACTACTTAATCTCTTTTCTTGGTTGGAGACCCCATCAAGTAAGAAGCCATAATGCTCTCAGTTCCTACTAAACACTGCACATAATACTTTTTGGGGGGTCTAAGAAAGTTGAAAAGATAGCCCCTATGGTAGTTTTGCGGGGTAGGAGAGACCAAAAGACAGACATAACAAAAATTAAATGTTAAATTATCCAATAATGTGATTATTGCATACAGGGATATGTGACTAATGTGATTTGGATAATTTAGAAGTTTTATAGAAGGAAGTAGAAACTGAACTAAAATCTTGAAGAATTTACATGGGTGGAAAAAATCAAGAGAAAATTCTGAGGGGCTGGAGTGATATAAGTAAATCACATAAATAGGAATAAAGACAGTGTGTACATTAGTTACCTTTCTCTTGTTACTGAGACAAAATACCCAACACCCAAAGTTAAAGGAGGAAAGATTTATTTAGCTCACAGTTCACGAAAGTTTCAGTCCATAATTAGCTGGCTCCAAGGAAGGTGGCACATGGCAGAGAGGCAACAGTTTATGGCAGTAGAAGATAGCAAAAGCAACAGGGGACCTTAACAGTGTCTTTCTGCACTTTTTTATTGTATATAGGATGATGCGATTAGCTGGTATCAACCCAATCAATGGACTGATTAGTAATCCCACACCCTTAATCCCAGCATCACACACTCTACATCCAGCCACCTCTGAAAAAACCCCACCTATGACAACATGAGGCTTTGAGGGGATGTGTAGACCCAAACCATAACAGTGCCGTATTCATCTTCCTATGGCCTGAAGGATAGGCCACAGTGGGGCCTGAAAATGGTTGTTGACTTCAGTAGAAGTGAGGAATCAGTCATGGTGATGCCTGGGGTGAGAAGAAGGGGCATAGGAAACAGACAATTTGAAGATGGGACCAGCAGGACTTACAAGAAATATTAAAGCCTTTACAATTTCAAAGTGATTTCACATACATTGTGCCCTGGCCTAGTTTTCCTTTTCACAGTAGTACATAGAACCTATGCCAAGTTCCTACCCCCACTATCATCTTAACCAACAACCCCTTGTTATGAACAATGGCCCCTTTACTCCCCTCAAATGAAACTCATTATTGATTTATTTGCACACATATTTTTGAAAAGATCAACATTGCGCTTTTTTGTCATATAAAGGAAAATTCAAACCATATGGTTAATATTAAAATATATTTTTCAATATGTGAAAGCCCTAACATGACTATCTCAGAAGACAAAATGAAGTAAAGTAAGTGTCTGATACCTTATAGAACTCAGTGGCTGCAAGTGCAGACAGTACAGGTGTGTTAGTAACTCAGGTGGAGTGGTCTTTAGTGAGGTGGTTGTCTAAATAGTGGGCTATGCCTGGTGAAATTCTAGAAAGAATAAAGGATGTGTACTACTCCCTAAGTTTTTCAGCATTTGCAGCCCTGAGAAACCGATATGTAAAATCCATGCCAAAATACATCTGGTATATGTGTGATACAGAGTCCACCACTAAGCTCAAGTGATCATAAGAATGTCCATCCACTAGCACTATAGTACTGCAGGACATCTTACACTGTCTCCTGACTCCCAGCCATTAGATGCCAGACAACCACATTGTGTCCATCACTGTGACAACCGCAAGTGGTCCCAGAATTCTACATCCTCAAAAGGAACAGCCGCAGCCCATGGAGTACCACTGGACTGGATGCTGGCTTAAAGATGGCAGCTCACAAGGGGGCTAGGAGGGAGAGCTGGGATGTGGAGCCTAGAAATGAAGTTGGCCACAGTGCTTTCTTCCCCAGCCAAGGAGAGCTTGCTAAGCTGGCTTTTTAAATTTTGCTAAGCTGGCTTTTCCAACTTGGCAAGTTCTGAGCCCAGGTAGGAAGTAAAATGAGGAAAACATATGGTATTTGGTAGGAAAAAAATACAAACCTTATTTGATTTATTTAGATTAGAGGCCAACAAACTCACTCTAATTCCCTGCCCTCCATGTTGGCTCACTGGGAGAAATACACTGTGTCTCAAGAAATAGTGGCAATCTAGTTCTAACATGAATCTTTAAAACTGTTCTGAAATTTAATGCTTGTTTTCCTTTAAACTATGAGCATGCTCTCAGCCACTTCCCCCTGATTTTGTGAAGTGTGTGCTCGTGGCTAATCCCTCTGGCATTTGCACTGTGCGCAGTGGAAGGTAGTGAGCAGATGTGCCTGGTTGTTTAGTATTAGCACTCCGCAGGCTGTCTTCTGCTTCTGAGTCTGAAGACAAACAAATCCGAAGGGCTTGATCCACTTAGAGTACTTTGTAGAGGATTTGGAACCTTGGATTTTTCATTTGATAACAATAACACACACGCAGACACACACTACTCTTTCACAGATACTGGTATAGTGTGTCTCATTTATAAATAGTTCTTTATCCCAAAAATACTTAGCATTCTTCAAATGCCTGCCCAATTATAATATTTCAAGAGCATAAATCTGTTTGCACCCTCATTCCAGGACTCAGTTTATTCATTTGCCCTCAGATGCCTGCTATTCACAAGAGAGCAGGTTAGGCATTGTGAGACAATCAGATGTAAACTAGACCCTTTGTATTCTCAAGGGGCCCATTGTGCAGTTGGGATGATAAAACCCCAAACATGGTATAAATGGAGAGCCATTGGAAACTAAGATGGAACACTGATGGGGTAGAATTTTAACTTGAGGACCTTACAGATTCATTAGCATTTAAATAGGGAAAGCATGTTCAGTTTTGAGGAGTGGTTTTCTGATCTAAAATAAATGTGAGCAGTATTTTTTTGTGTTTTTCCATGTCAGGAAGTGAGGCTTCCTGTCACTTAACAATGTGCACTCTCCAGCTGTTGTCAGAGTGGAATTAATCAGTAATAATGGCTATAAAGAAATTTCATTCAGTGTGGCTACCTGTCCAGAAAGAAGAGGTTCTCTAAATTAAAAACTGAGTATGTTTTGTACCTTTATCTCCATTCACAGTGCAGGAGGGTCAGACAGGAGGCAGGCAGATGGTCAGGGTCACTATGGGAAGAGTTCAGTTGCTAATGTGGGAAGGAATCTTGTTACCAGAAGAACTTGAGAGCAACAGAGAAGTGAGTCTCCATTGGATTTCTGTGCCCTCCTCTTCAAAGTGTCTTTGTCCTGGGCGCTGTATCTTTTTTTTTTTTGGTTTTTCTCTGGTACCGGGAACCGAACTCACGACCTTGCGCTTGCCAGGCAGGCGCTTTGCCGCTGAGCTAAATCCCCAGCCCCCTGGGCGCTGTATCTTAATGCCTCTTTCCTTGGTCCAGACTTCCTGTGTTCCTCTGGCAGCCCTGTTCTCTACTTTTCACCTGCCTGTAGGCAAAAGATTTGACTCCAAGCAGGGGATCAACATCAAACTTTGGCCAGAATATGTTTATGAAACTTAATTACCCCATGTTAGAAATAATATATATCTGATCTGAATGGCAGTTATTGACTATATGTGCATGTAAATTTATTAAATTGTACTGTTAAGATTTGTGCATTTCATATATATTATGTCCCAATGAAAAGTATAAATAATAACAGTAGAAGTCAACTAGGTCAATCACTGGAGTAGTGCCAGCTTTGGTTTATCTTTTAATTTAGCAACGACTTGTGCATTTTAAAATAAATTTTTAGAATTTTAGTGCTAATTCTTTCTTAAATGTGTTAATTAGTTAAAACAAATAACCAACACTGGATGATTAGTTGTAACAACTCTTTGTACCTCTTCAAAGTTGCAAACAACTCGGTAGAATGATTTCTGAAAAAAGGATGAAAATACTTGTTGCCAAACAATCTAGTTTGATTCCTCAAGACTTCCACTGTTTAAATATCTACAATTCGAAGATAATTATAAACAAAATCTTTATTTCAAATGGTCGTATTTACTAACTTTCATCCGGCCTCATACTTTGCATCCAATTCTTAAGCCGACTCCCAACACACACACACACACACACACACACACACACATATTCTACCACAGCTTCTATCCTGATGTCTGGAGTTTTTGATTGACATTCAGACTGCAGTCTGGTGAATGAATAGTCACCATGTGATGATGTCAAAGTGAACAAAAATAGAACTTACAATAAAATCTTTCCCTGTAGCTGTGGTTGTCAAGGTTCAAACATTCAAAGAGAGAAATATTCTTTTAGAAAGAGAGATTAAAAATAAAATGTGATGCCACTAAATTACAGAATAATCTACAAAGTCCAGAAACTGTCCAGAAATTAAATTTGAACTACTCCTTCCCAACAAACCCACCCAGGCTCATCATCTTGGATGGATTTTTTGATCCTATAAAGTGCTTCTTAACATTTTATTATTTTTTAAGTTAAACATTTAGCATGGACTGTTTTTGTTGGAACAGGACAGCTGGGAAGTGGTGGAAGGACTGAGGGGGGACATGAATTACACCCAGGAGCCTCCTGTTCAGAAAGGATTTTTACTGAAAAAGCGGAAATGGCCCTTAAAAGGCTGGCACAAGGTAAGACACTGGCCTTGGCCTCCCCTCATGTGCCTCCATCCTACTCCACTTAGGACCCACTTCTTGTGCACTTATGTTTAACTTGAAGTTGGAATTTGAGACCAGGGAAGGGATATTTCAGTGGGACATCTTAATCAATTATAATGTCTTCCCCACAGAGATTCTTCTACTTGGACAAAGGAATCTTGAAATATGCCAAGAGCCAAACCGATGTAAGTCTTCTGGCTGGTCCAGCATGCTGCTGGAGAGTTCTGCAGGAGTGCTTGCTGTCAGCTCAGGGGAGAGGCTGTGTACAGTTGAGGGTCTCAGTACTCTGAGGGTTGAGTTTCTCTAGGTGAACAGAAGTGCCTGCTCCCTGCTGTCTCAGCTCTTGTCCTAGGTGGGCACAGTTCACCTGCCAGGTGCAGAGACAGGGGCTTCTCTAACACTTCACTGAGTATCCACGGGTCTGTTCTGGTCTTAGGGGTGCATTAAGGAGTACCCTGAGTAGAAGTCACCCTTGCAGTGAGTAACAGGAGCAAAGCAGAGTGTGGCAGCATTCCACGCTTGGGGTGATGGAGGGGCTTGGAGGAGAAGCCTTGGCTGAGAAGTTATTCTTGGACCAGGCAGTTGGTGTGTGAGGGCTGTGAGTGAGTGGAATGCCTAGAGCTATAGAGGCCTTCTGTCTTCCTTTCCTCCCCTCCCTTAGCCTACTTTTAAGTCACTTCTCAGTGAGTTGACACCAGACACTAATCCAGTGGGAGGCAGTGTCCTTAACAGGTTAATTCATAGGAGTCAGCCCATGGGGATTGCTATCTTGTTTCTTCACCTTCTGGCTGTGTAAACTTCTTGTTACTTAACTCCTCTGCACCTCATCTTTGAAACAGGGAGCGTGCTTTGTACTTCACAGAGGGCAGGAGGCAGCGTGCAGTGCTGGCTCGCTTGGAGCGCTCCATCAGTCATAGCGTTTGTCTTTGCTGTCAGTGGAGGTGGTGGGAGTCAGAGGATGTTTCTACCACCTCTCAGCCTGTGGTTCTCAAGTGGCTTCTTCATGGCTCTGCAGATCGAGAGAGAGAAGCTGCACGGCTGCATTGATGTGGGGCTGTCAGTGATGTCCGTAAAGAAGTCGTGTAAGTGCATCGACCTTGACACCGAGGAGCACATCTACCATCTGAAGGTGAGGCTGCTTCCCAGGTGTGCTCCCTGCCATGTGGAGCCCCGTTAGGCTTTTTCTTCTTGTTTTTGCCTTTATTCTTTATTTTTTGTTTGAGGTGTAGTCTCGCTGTGTTACCCAGGCTGGCATCAACTCCTGGGCTGAAGTGATCCTCCTGCCTCACCCTCTTCAGCAGCTGCAACTACCGACATGCACCACTGCACTTAGTTTTATAGAGTCCCTTTATGTTAATTCTATGCTCTTAGTGATGCCTTTTGAACACTAAGCTAGTATATCTTCATCAAAGTGTTCCTAATGGACCCTAGATATTGGGATGGGGCAGTTCATGGTACAGGGTTGTCTCACATTGCTTGAAGGTTTGGCACCCTTGTTGCCTTGTCCCCCTAATACCATCCCTCCTCCCCGATGACTGTGACAACAGTAGCAGAAACATCATGTTTCCAGATTACACCACACCACGCAGTGCTATCTTTAGTAAAGAACTATTTACCACAGGTTAAAATGCGTTTCTTGAAACATAATACAATATCCAGCTTGTGGATCCCCATCTTACAGTTTTGACTAATTTTAAAGTGATTTCATGAAAATTCTCACTTCACTTTATTGAAGTGTCTGGAATTTTCCCCCTAAAGTGTGTGCAAATTAAACACCTCAAACCTTTTTACCCTGTTCTTCTCTGTCCCCTGCAGGTGGTAGAGATAGTTAAAATTATAAAGCGTGAGGTCTAGACTTAGTTCATTTGACACACCTACTTACTAATTTTTGAACTTTGACCAATTATTTAATTGCTGAAAGTCTCAGTTTTCTCACCAAAGAAAGAAAGAAAGAGAGAGAGAAAGAAAGTCAGTGATAGTACTTATCTTATAGAGCTGCAAATAAAATACTTGGCCTAATGCCTGGATCACCTAAACTCAATAAACTTAGTTGCTGTTTATGATTATTAGGCAGCATGGATGATAGAAATTAATTGAGAAAATGCTAAGACATTTTTCTTACTTGGGAAAATTACTTGGGATTTGGGAATCAAGAGCTGATGACAAAGAAAGCATGAGAGAGCCTGTGCAGAGCCTGTCTCTGCAGCCTGTGTGGTGATGATCAACACAGGCCTGATGCGCCCCTCTGGGAAAGGCAGTCAGAAATAGACTGAGTGTAACCCTGAACACCGGGGTTAGCTCGCTGTGTAAAGCAAGGTCTCGCAACCTTGGCATCATGGACCTTGTGAGCTGGATAGTTCTCTGTTGTGGGCTGTCCTGGGTGGAAGGATGTCACACAGCACCACTGTCCTCTACTCACTGGGTACCAATAGCATTGTGTTCTAGGTATGACAACCAAAAATTTCTCTAGGTATTTTCAAGTCACCCATGGGGATAAAATCACTCCCGGTTGCAACTGGCTACTATGATGTAAAGAAAGGAAAAACCTATCATCCTGAAAAAGTTAAGAAAGAGTATTAACCCTACCCTCAAGCCATTTTTGATGGCCAGTCTCTTCTAGAATAGTTTAGGTTATTTTTCTGTGTATTCCAATGACTCTTCTTTTTGAGTTTTGACATGGTCAGGAAATAGGTTCTTGTTTATCTATTATTTTAGTTAATGGGATAAAAATAATTATTGATTTCTAAGTTTTAACAATTTAGAATGTCTCAAGATCTGTTGAATATGAATACAGTGATACACAGAGTTTAATATTTCTCTGTGTGATTCACTTTAAGTTCTGTTTAGTTTCTTGGTGATTCACATGAACACCAGCTGTGACGGTGGCGTAGGTAAATGTTATCTGAGGGCTCTAATTAATAGCTGCAGAGTCAGGCCCTCCAGCCAGGCCCATTCTTTTGTTTTTTATAGATGAGGAGTCTGCACAGTAGAGAGGGTAAGTGACTGTCCATCCAAAGTCCTAGTTCTACAATTACTAGAGGGGCTGGAACAGAGCCTTGGTCAGTTGTTTAATAAAGTGCTTTTCGGTTTCTACCTTGTTTAGCCAGTAAAATCTGTCAAGATGAATGTTTTGAGCACTGACTTTTAAAGGCCTCTGAGAGTAGATCTGTGCAAGGATGACATGAAACTTTCATAAAATTCCTCACCTGGGCAATGAAACACATTTCAGGAACATCACAGTATGGGGGAGGAAAAGATATGTGTGTCTGTTTGCTTTGCCTCTGCCTATAAATGACAGTACCTGGAGGAGTCTCCTGTCTCGTTGGCACTTCTCCTAATCAACAGGAAAGCCAGCTTCAGTTTCTCAGTGAAGGGTGCTGCTGATGTTCATTCACACATCCTCATTCTCAGCCTTAGTATTAGTGGAGATTTTTGTGGGCTTGGTCTAGAGTTTCCATGTGGAAAGTTAACCTACCAGGCCTCCTTTTGGGTTATTTTAAATGGCAGCTTCATGAGTCTTTGTGTCCTGATATATAAGTATCTATCATTTTTCACTTTTAAAATGCTAATATGCTCTCATGCATACGAAAATATACTTTTAAGAAATGCAGGGGCACATAGGTGCTTGTATCTTTTTAGTATTGTTATGAACAATATTTTCTTATAAAACTAGTTAATATGTATTCTTCATGGAAATTATAAATTGATAGTCACTCATGGAAAAAATGGCTCCATGTATGTATAGTAATGGTGATGGTACGTTATAATGCTTTATCAGATTTTTCTGTTTATGACTGGGAAAAATGTTCTTTCAAATAACCTTCATATTCATTAACATACACTTCTCAACAGTAGATCCTTTGACAGAGTACATGAGCAAGGTTAAATATTTTAAGAAGAGTGTACTAACTCATTCCAGTCTAGGGAAGACTGATCTGAAAATTCTGAATTATAAAAGAATTCAGAAAGAAAAATGGTGCTGATGTATTTAGCAGAGCTAGAAGAATCTAGGACTGAAGAATTGGAAAATACTTTAGGAAACAAATTAATGTAAATTTCATCTTTTATTGTTTATATATAACTGGTACTATTTTCCTTCCTTAAAAGTAACACAGCAGTTGGACACTCTCAAAGAAAACCTAAATTCAGACTTCATGAAGACCATTTTTACTCCTTTTTTCTCTACAGACTTTTTCCTGTAAAGCATATAAATGTAAAGTCCATAGAGGCTATTTCTACATTTCTATATATGCCAACTAAAAAACATTCAGGAACCTCAACTTGATGAATAATTGTTCCTTTTAGCAAGTGACTCTTTTATTTCCTTCTTTCAATTTACCACATATTAGGCGAAGTCAGAAGAAGTCTTTGATGAGTGGGTAGCCAGACTCCGTCACCACAGAATGTATCGTCAGAATGAAATCGCCATGTTTCCACGGGAAGTGAATCACTTTTATCCAGGGCCCACCATCACAGATTCTGCGCCTGGGACATTTGACTCCATTTCCAGTAGGAAGGTAATGAGCCTTTGTCAATAAGTAGTCTAAAAGGAGGGGCAGCTTTGCAAGAGGGCAGCCCTTTGAGAGCTGAGTCTGAGGAAAGGTGTGTGGGGAAGAGGAAGGGAGTTGGGCTGATGCTGAATTTGTCTTGCCCACTGAGGCAGAAGCAGGAGCAGATGAGCATCTGGTAACAGTGAGACAGAGAATGCAGAAAATCATGTAAAGAACAATGTAATGTCTCTGATGCTCTAGCTCTCTCTTCACCAGCTTGACTTTGGTTTTCTTACCTGGCTGTAAAATATAGTAGGTATGTGTATGGCCCATACAGAATTGCAGAATACTTCCAAATGTTTATATCATTTGGCGAAAAAGAAGAAAAAGCTGTCACCTGAGGTATTATAGTATGGCATGGCCAAGTTGGGGTGACAGCCGGAGGTGTTAGGGTCTCCCTGTGGGTACTTTGCTAGAAGCTTCTCCCCATTATAAGCAGAAGGCATCCGTTAGCAGCTAACCAGCCCTGTTATCCTTTACCCCAAATTGTCCCTGCTGGTCTCTGTTTTCATTTATAATGTGGTCTCATCCTCTGTGGAACAGCGTAGCAGTATATCAAAGCAGAATTCGTTTCAAACTGGAAGCAATTTATCATTTTCTTATGGTGGTGAGGCGCGAGTTCCATTATGGCTACAGTCTTCAGAGGACATGGAAAAATGCTCAAAAGGTAGAGTGACTTGAAACCTTTGCCTCTTTCTAAATGAACTGGTTTTGTATCTGTCCCTTAGTTGATTTTGTGTCCTTCCCTTCTCTCTCCACATTCCTTCCTATACTTTGGCTAGGTCACACTTGCTATCAACAGAAGATACCCTCATGTAGAGTTTTACATCTTTGCCTGGGTTTGTTTGTAGACAGGCTTCTTTTTCTAGTCTTTAAGTACTTGATTTCCACCCAGGTCTATACAGTAGTCTCCAGGGAAGGAGAATGTATAGTTCTGTTTTTCTTAAGCACCAGAAATGATTCTGATGTACATCATTGATTGCGACTCTGTTCTAGAGGTGAGTGGGTGGCCAAATGGAGAGCTCCACCATGTACCGGTTCCCTACTCTGGCTGCACATTCACATTACCAAGAGAACCTTTAAAATGCAGGAATACCCATGCTAAGGCCTTTTCCCCAAATACTGTCTTTAAATTGGTCTGAGGTGGGGCCCTGGGAGCATTGATGGTCCATAGTTTCCCAGGAGATTTTGTGAAGGAACCAGAGTTGAGCACTGTAGCCACAGTGAAGCTCAGTGTTCACAACTTTAATTAGCTAAGACTCATCTGGGGAACTAAAAAAAGCTCACCAATGGGATTGAGAGTGTCTGGTGTGGAGTATGGGCATATGTGGTTTTTAAAAATTTCTCCAGCTGATTTTAAAGTGTAGCCATGCTTGAGAACCACTGTTAGGGAATGATGCAAGGTAGTAACCTTCAGAATTGCTCTTTGTCTTGTTGAATGCAGACAAGTCCACTGAAGCTATGTAGCCTTAGCCCTTCCAGTAAATATGTTCATGAGCTTCATTGATTGACATCTTGGCAAAGGGGCCCTTGAAGTACTGTATCTGGCCCAGCAGCAGCAGTCCTGCCTGGGAACTCACTAGAAATGCTTGTTCTCAAGCCCAACCCCTCTGAAACTGGGGTTGGAGCCTAAAGATCTGTGGCATAAATACTCCAGGTGATTTTGGTGATAGGAACATTTGAAGCCATCATCCTAAGACCTTTGGGCCTTGATTCGTCAGGAGAAGCATCCATCAACATCTAGTGAGCCACCAGCTGTGAGCTATCTTTTGGTTGGGGACTAGGACTGTGAGATTACTCTTCAGTCATCTCAGGTCCATCCGCGGAGGCTCATCACAGTCCTCATGCAGGTCCATGATCAACAGTTAACTGGTACAATTTTATTTCAGTTTTATCTTTTTGATGTGAATTGGGTCCTTGCATGTGGACCACTTTCTAAGTGGTCCGCAGAAGTGCTCCACTTTTCTAAGTGCTCTGTACATATCGACTCACTTAATTCTCTTCACTCTGAGCTAGCTATGTAACTGTCTCCCAGATGAGAAAACTGAGGCATAGAGAGGTCATATCACTTACCCTAGAGTTCATTCAGTGTATTCAAACTGAGGCCACCTAGTTATCCAGATCCATTCCCTTAACCCTTATAGTCTGTAGCCATTCTTGTGAAACAGAGCAAAATTTCCTGCCTATCCAGATGTAAAGTCAAATGTAGAAAAAGTAAGAAAGTCACTGGTGCCAGCACAGCGATCCCTCTTGCAATAGAAAATTGTGAGCCCTCTCCTCTTTCTCTCACAGACCTGGCACACTGCCATGCCTATCTGGTGGAGATGAGCCAGCTCCTGCAAAATATGGACGTCCTGCATCGGACGTACTCGGCGCCTGCCATCAATGCCATACAGGTTCGCCTGACCCTGCTCTGTTCACCTTCTGGCTTCTGCTTTCCTTTCTCCTCCCAGCCTTTGACTAACAGTGGAATGCTGTCTGGCCAGTTGCTTCAGCCCAACTCAAGGGGATGGAGGTGGTCACTTTGCTGTGCATTTATCCCTGTGGTTTGGTGGACCTTACTGTCTGTGCTCTCTTTCCTGTTTTGAAAAAAAGGGTGGCGCTTTTGAAAGTCCCAAAAAGGAAAAAAGATCGCACAGGAGGTGGCGGTCCAGAGCTATTGGCAAAGATACTAAAGGAACGCTCCAGGTAACCATTGCTTCCACTTGTAGCAGACTGCTTTCCTCCTTGGCCCTGCTCTGCATGCCGCATGCTGGGGCTATTTTGACTCAAGTAGGAGAACAGACAAGTGCATATTCTGGAGTTGTTCTGTCCAATACCCTGTGCAGGGGGAGGAATTCAGTCACTTAAATCTTCTGGGTATAAGTATAAGGTTCTAACGGACCTTAGGGAAGCAAGAGAAAGAATATTTTCTGAAGAAAATGTCATGGAGATAGAGGAATTACCACCATTTCTAGAGCTTTCAGCTTTCCCTTCTTTAATGTTTAGCCTCCCTGCCTTCTTGCCTGCTTGTGCGTGTTCCTTGTTTGTGGCTGTGGAGACCCAGTGCTCTGACCCACTATCCTGCTGAAGCTCAGTGGATTTATATCCCTCTGAGCCCATAAGCCCAAGTCTCTGGGCACAAGACATCCTGCGGACTCTTGCCATTTTCCTCCGAACTCCCTGACTCCACCAGAGGCTCGTTGTGTCTTGCTAGAAGCTCTCTTTCCTAAAGCACAATGAAGTCCCTGGCCAAGATTTGCAGAACAATTGTTGCATATTAAATTGCAACATTATTAAAATAAAAATTAATCCCAAACTTTTGAAAAGTCAACTGATATAATCTTGTATATGCTTTGACTCAAAGCACTTTATGAGCTGAACTCAACTACTTTAAAAGTAAGGAATGTTCCATGTACAAACGTGAGTAGTTAGATAGCTTTGTAGAAGCCCCACGTGCAAATAAAAGCATTCTTAAACCTATTTATTCTAACAACCTAGTTACTGGGTGGTGATTGCCAGGAGGATGGATGAGTGTACATGAGAAAGCCTGCCAGTTTTAGCTGTCATTTTCAACTATAGCTTTAATATCTCTATCATTTCCAGAAAAGTATATGATTTCTCACCCATTTTTATTTCATAAGAAGCAAGTTTCTATGGAAAGTATTTTCCTGAGTTTTTATATATTTTTCTCCTACCATTCAGTAGGAAGAGTCATGAAGTGGTCTTTCTTAGTGAGTTCCAATCTTAGAATCAAGTATATATTCTGAACAGTCTGTATGTGAACAGAAATCTCTCCCTTTGCTGTCACTGTAGGTCCCTAAACCTTTCTCTGGCCCTGTGAGACTACATTCCTCCAATCCTAACTTGTCAACACTAGATTTTGGAGAAGAGAAAAATTATTCTGATGGCTCTGAAACCTCATCAGAATTTTCTAAAATGCAAGAAGACCTATGTCATATTGCCCATAAAGGTAAATGATTTTTTTTCTTCTTCCCGATGTTTATAAAATGTGCAGCGCATGCCTGAATTTGGGATGTCTTTAACTTCCCTGGTAGCAGAGATATATAAGAGTTTTCTTTTTAATGTCTTGGAGAAACAGTAAGAGTGTTTGATATATAGTTGGTAGAACCTTTGGATCTAACCATTTGCAGATTAAAACTTAAAAAAAGCTACCTGTACTGAGCATGTACATACTTTTTTCTTGTTATTACTTTTTACACAATACAGGATAGCAACTATTTATACAGCATTTGCATCTTACTAGTTATTGTAAGAATATGGAAGAAAATAATACTGAGTGGTAACTATATTCTTTAAAAGCTGATCAATTTATTTGATGCCAATGGGAGCATAAATTGGTATTTTTCTGGAAAGCAATATGACATTATATTCCAACTGTTTTTTTAAATCTGCCTATCTAGCATTTCCACTTTGAAAAATCCATTTGTAGAAAGTAACTTAAAACTTTCCCAAACAAATACATCCATTGTTTATCACATTAAAAATTAGACATAGGAATTCAACATCGTTAGCCATTTTGGAAATGCAAATTTATCACTACATACCTACTACAACAACTAAAATTTTTTTAAAGGTACCCAGTGCTGGTGAAAATACACAAAAACTGAATCTCTCATACATTGCTGTGACCATGTAAAATGATGTAGCATTCTGGAAAATGGTTTGGCAGTGTTATATAAAACTAAATATGTACTTAGCAGAGGGCAACACTCACATTCCTGGGTACTTACCTTAGACAAGTGAAATTTTATGTCCATGCAAAAACCTATTCACAAATGTTTAGAGTGTATTTTTTTTGTATTAGCTGAAGATTAGAAACAATTCAGTGTCCTACAGATGCGTGGTTAAACAGCTTGTGGTCCATCCATACTACCAGTCAGCAGTAAAATGGGATAACCATTGTTATATGCAACGCTGTGGATGGGTCTCAAAGACACTATACTGAGTGAAAATAGCCAACCTCTAATATTTACACAGTGTTTCCACTTATCACTCTGGAAATGATGTAGAGCAGTGAAATTTGATGGTTACCTGAGGTTAGACAAGGAAGAAGGAAAGGGGAAGAATGTGGGTGTGATTATAAAGAGATTTTAGTGGTTATAGAAAGTTCTATATCCTGATTGTGGTGCTGCTCACAAGAATCTGCACATGTGATAAGATTATACTGACATCCCTATCCACACACTACACAAATGCATGTGTGTAAGCCTGGTGAAATCTGTGTCCTGGTTTGTATATTGTATACCGCTTGTGTCAGCTATTACCGTGTGGAGAGACGTACACAGGCACAGGTATATGGTGCAGGCATAGGTATGTGGGACTTTCTATACTTATTTTGGGTTTTGGGTTTTTTTGTTCTTATTTTGAGAGAGGGTCTTGTTTTGTAGTGCACACCAACTTCAAAGTCTGAGCTCCAATTTCAGGCCTCCTGCTTTAGCCTCCTGAATGCAAGGATTAGAGACTTGCAACTCCACTCCAAGCTTTTGTATTGTTTTTGCAACTTCCTATGAGTCTGTAACAAGTCCAAAATAAAAATCGGAAGTAACCTAAATGTTCAAGGAAAAGGGTTGGAGTTTTTTAAAATGCAATATTATCATATCATAGAACACTCAGCATAATAGTAATAGCTACCTTATATTGAACAAACAGCGATCGTGTCAGGCATTGTTAAGTACTTTATATGCATTGTTTCATTTAATTCTAGCAGCAACTATTGGGGTAGATAATACTGTAATCTGTTTCATGTATAAAAAGCAAGGTTTAGAGAAGCTAGAGGACTTCTTAAGGGCCATGTGGTTCCAAAGCAGGTGGTCTGAAACTTCAATACTGACCTGCTCAGGGCCTACACTCCTTCACTGGTGTCACACTGTCCTTACAGATGAGGCTGCCAGGGTTCTTATTTACAGGTACAGAAAACATCACATTAAGTAGAATATAAGGTTTAAAGCTATATGGTATAATCCCAGTTTTTGGAAAAAATAAATACACATCTGGCATATATAGGCATACTAAAAAGTCTAGGAAAGTGTACGTTAATATTTTTGTAATGGAGGCTGGAGTTGTAAGTACTTACCATCTTTGCTTATTTTTTAAAAACTTTTTATATATTATTTTTCTTAAAGAGGAAATGAATTAAAGGGCTTTAAGTGGGAGGGTGGTGTTTGAGGTGGGAGAAAAGAAGATATCCCCACTACTGCCTTCTTTTCCTCCTGCTGCCATATTTTCCTTCGTTCGCATTATTGATTCCTTCAGTTCTCTCTTCCCTTACCACACAAATCTAACACATGTTGATTATGAGATTGGTTATAAAGAAACTATTTCATGCTTTGTACAGATTTCTCACTCTGATTTTATCTTAGTCACCATTCGAATTTCTCAGTGGTTTGGAATTCAGTAGTATAATCATGTACTTAATGAGAGAAGCTACCTGGCCCATCCCTTGAAAGCTCTTGAAATACCCCTTTGGGTATTCTTTAGAATTCAAAGAATCAGTTACAATCAGAGCATTTTAGTTTTTAGGGGAAGACATTCTTACAAAACTCCATTATTTTTTAATAATATGCACTTTTTTCAATCAATGAGAAGACAGAGCTTCCCTGCCAAAGGAAGAAGCACTGGCTTTCACGCACATTGCAGAAACTACTTCCTTGGTGGGGCAGAGGTTGCCCTTTTGAATGGACCCATCAGTGCAGTCCTGCTGCAGAGGTTTCTGCGTGCTGGGTCTGTAATGGGCTCCCAGCCAGCTCCTCTGTCTTTGGGGCACTGAGAAATCAGCTGGCTGCAGCACTGCCACATATCTGGGTGGGGCCAAGGTCAGTGCTCCAAGGAAGTTCCAGGTGAGCTTGTTTATTCAAGAGCAGACTAAGCTGCCTGGGCTTACAGACAGTGACTTCCACAGGGAGCCTGAGGAGCTGTGTGGCACTTCTGATGGATTTAAAATACTCTTGCAGAGACTGACAGAGCTCCCTGTCACCCCTTCAAGTTTGTCATATACAGATGCTACTTAAGGGGAATGACGACAGCATGGAATAATGACAGCTTTCATGTTTGCCCCAACTCTTGTGACCCTGTGTGATTTCACACTGGCCCACTTGGAACATGAAGCATTTTGACCTTTCTTCCTGTGTAAGCCTGTTCTGTTACTGGCAGTGCCTGTGGTACTGTTTTGACTGCATCAGTAGTCTGCTGACTATGATTTTGAAGCAACTGAACTAAAGGCAAGAACTCCACTGATGTAATATGGTCTGTGTGACCTTAAACTTGTTAAATGCATCTGAATTGTCTTCATTTTTCAGGTCAAGTGGTGAGCAACCAACGTACAGTTATCCGAGTTTTAGAAGTCCTTGTTCTGTATGATAGACTATAAACTTGATTTTTATGGACTGCTTTGAACTGATTCTCATGGTTCACGTTTCTAGTTTGGGTGTGTATTGACAGCCATATAAGCAAACCAAACAAAGTATATTAACCCTCAAAGTCGTAAATAATTTGTATTTTATATATTAGCTTTTAAATTTCCCCAAATGTAGTTCATAGAACATGTTATCCATAAAATACTTAAAAATCAAAATAAGAATTTCATGATTAAAAATGTTTGGAAAACATGGCTGGCTGTGGTTCCTTTTGGATTTATACCAGCAATTATAGACGGTAAAATCCCTGAGAAGTCCTGCAGCAGACAAACCTGTTAACTATACCTGAGTGATTTTTCAGTGTTATTTGGGAAGCTCCCCACTGCACCCCCAACCCCTACCAGCTAGTAATATCCTAGAACTAAAGGTCCCAAGAAACATTCTTCAGGAAACATTGTAAATAATGAGTCTTCTTTGGAACTGACCTGTCTGGTACTGACTTTCTGGGACCTTGACTTCTCTGGCCAACCCCCTAGACCTCAGCTGCCTCCTCTGTCAGATGTCCTGCCTCCTTTGGCTCTCAAATTTTGTCACCTTCTATGATTGTTTTACGCTGAACAGAAAAAACTTGTACTGTGGCTTATTGTTACAAGAAAGTTTTATGAGGACATTTCCTATTAGCAGCAGAAATAGAAATGACTGATGTTCGTGAGCAGATTTAGGGTGGGAAAGCAGTAGGATGGGAGCAGGGTGAGGGACGGAAGTGATCAGTATTGCCACAGGACGTGGATGTTCACATTCTGCCTTGGAAACAAACGAGGCTTTAGAAATACTTTATAAATAGGTGAGGGGAATCATTATTTTCAAATATAAAAGCTAAAAGTAAAATAAAATTAAATCATATATTAACTTATTTTGTTCCTGAAGTTTTTTTCTTGAGTTGTAATGTTGAGTGGTCATTTTCTAAACTGTCTTGAGCTTGTTGAAGTATTGAATCCAAAGCCAAGTATGTCACAATGATACCACTCTCATAGATTAAAAACTAAAAGACATATATGACCTAAGGAAAAGCCACATCAGGTATTTTTCATAAATTACAATTCAGTAGAAGTATGCTGAGCAATCAAGCTCATGTACATTATCAATAAATAAGTAAGAACATTTAGTACAATTACCTAATGTATCTAAATCAGTTTGTATAGTGCATGGGTTCAGAATATTTTAAAACCATGGGTATTCAATAAAGTTTGAAACTGAAAGGAAACATTACATAAAAATCACATCCCAGATATTTGAGGCACATTAATATTTTAAAGATAATTCACACAAAATATAGTTTCCATTAAAAATGAAGGAAAACAGTGAACCCTGCTGTGTTGGGTGCTACATGATAATAAGTTTTATCATTGTTTCCTTAAAGCACTAAGTTGCAGGCCTCATTCATACACAGGTATAGAAACCTATGTCCGCACTGTACATGGCAACTAAGTGATAGAGGGAGGCAGGGTTTAAGTTCACATTTGCCTTATTACCGGGTGACTTTCTCCAGTACCACACTGCCAGAGAGGTGGCACCCATGACGTCATAACTACCTTCCTCAAGCTCTTATTCCTTCCTGATGCTGAGAAACTGCTCAAGAAGGAGATTAAGTAGACCTCAGGTGCAGTTACCCTTCAGCATCGGCTTCTGCTATCAAAATGTGCTGTGTGTTGTGGTCTCTTCATCCTAACTCGATACAAGCAGAGCGTGGGAGCGGCAGGAGAGGCAGTGGTCATCAAGAGTTAGTTCCGTGCTTTTGGTTTTCCATTCTGTAGGTGCAGCTAATGGTTCCTGAAGTCAACATCTCACCCTGTGTTGCACTCATTTAATGCCACAAGGGCATCTGAGAAATGGCTAGTGACAGTCTGGGAAAGAGATGAGACAACAGAGATCCCGTAATTGCCTTCTCACATTTGAATGCATGAAAGAGAAAGGGGAGAGCCAGGGAATGGAAAAACGTGGACCAAAAGACAGTTTGGAGAGTTATTGGCGACGTAGAAGAGCTGGTCAAGCTTTGGGGTAGGTAGCTTTCACAATCTTTGAGGTTGTCTCTATGCATCCCAGATTTTCTGAATGGCTTTTAAGTCAAGCACCCATACATACAGGACTCTTGCTTGGATTTCCTGTTTTTAAAACTTTTTATTTGTCTCTGATAAACTTAGAATCGAGATAGAAATAAGAAGATACTCTGTCACAGAGAATATTCCTGAACTTTGGGATCCTGTGTGTTTAACAATTAATATAAATGTGATCCATAAGCAGCCTCTTGTCACTGTTCTGGATGTACTGGGTCACTAGATGGCTGTGAATGATTACTTTAATGTCTTCTGAGTGGGCCTGAGCTGTTCTTTGAGGGATTTAGTGCAAAGAGATCTGGTCTCCTGAACCACTTTGTCAGATGATGAAGAGTTCTGCACCTTACCATGGAGTAATGACTATGTGGGTGTCTTTCTGTTTATTTTATTCCCACCACAGTCTTAGCTGTACATTTTGAGTCATACAGTACATATTTTGCCAATTTACAGCATGTAAGTAGGAATCTTCTAGATTGGTTGAAAGCCCTGCCTTGCAGCAGGGCATGTGAAAGCCAGAGGAATCAATTTGGGAAAGTGGTAGCCAACTGAGTGCCATGTTTATCTTATTTGGAAGAATAAGTGTGACGGTAAAGAGGTAGTTCCCCCAGGGACACACTGAGATGGTTGTGGGTATCCTGTGGAGGGGGCACATATCTAACAGGACATAAAATGCAGTGGGCTCACTGCACGGTTCATTGCTTTCTTCCCAAGGAAGCTCTTCTATGGCTCAATAGATTGTAGCCAGTCCCACATTCGCAGACTATCTCTTCTTTGTGCAGTTATTTGCAAGTCCTTTTTGTTTCTTGTCCTAGCAAGAGACTAAAGCATCCTTCTAGAGCTGCTGCCAATTTTGAGAGATTGTAGTCACCACCCCTTTCATCCTCACGTATCTACTTCATCATCACCGCTGTTACTATTGCAGTAACATTAGTTACTTATTACAGGCCATGCACTGGGTTAAGTGCTTTACCTGCATTATCTCTCTTCATCCTTATAACAATCAGCACATTAAGTGCTGTGAGGAAACTGGGATTCAAGCATTCATGTACTTATGCAGGGTCACAGAGTGAATAAGCAATGGACCCTTCTCTTCTGTTGACAAAAGCAACATTATGTGTGTGTGTGTGTGTGTGTGTGTGTGTGTATACAAAGAGCCCATTTGTACATGACTTTGTGAAGATGCTCTAAGTCCGTTACTAACTGCCACAACCTCAGTCAGGCTCAGTGACAACATGTAGAGAGATTGTTTTCCTCTCCGAAGGAAGTAAGTCAATGATGCATATTTGGTTTCTGTGTCACTAAAAAGGTCACGCCTGGATGACAATACCTGTGCAAATTCAAGCCTCTGGAATTCAGTAATATGCCGGGTCATTTGAGAAGACATCTCAGTCTCTTCCCTCTTTCTGCCCTTCTGAAGCAGAAAGGAGATTGAAAAATAATATTCAAATGTGATATCCACAATCATTACTTTCTCATGCCTTGGAAATAACTTGTATACAGTAATATGTGATCAAAAGTGGATGGATTTTTGTTCACATGTGTTAGTGTTGTTTTAAAGCTTCAGTTCAAGTGTGTGCTGGTCTAGGGGTGCTAAGTTCTCAAGGGATCTGGGTGCTCAGTAAAGTGAGCACAGTAGTTGAAAGCCAAGACTGGAGGTGGGGAATTCTGGTCCTGCAGAGGGAGGGTTAACAAGGAAGAGGGGAGGCAACACCTGATTTTGAACGTTTCAAGCTTACATAAAAGTTGTGAGAACACTACCGAGTTCTCATGTACCCTTTACCCAGTTCACCATTTTCAGTATTTTTCCACATTTATTTTATCACCATCTCACATACACACACACATGCACACACGTGTGAGTGCACACACACACAGACACTTTTTGTTTTGTTTTGTTTTTGTTTCTTTTACCCAGTACCTGGAATCGAACTCACAACCTCGCGCTTGCCAGGCAGGCGCTGTGCCGCTGAGCTAAATCCCCAGCACAAACACTTTTATTGTCCATTTGCGAGTAGAAGTCATACCTCATATAGTTCTTTCTGGCTTTATACCTACGGCAGTATATGTTTCTTGAAAATAGGTAAAACCTGTTACAGATCGCAGTGTAGTTACCTAATTTAGAAGATGTGACAGTGAAACAATGTGTTATCTCTTCTTTCAAATTTGAATGTCGGTTCCTCAAGAGTCTCTTTTAATACCAGTATCTAGTTCATGGAAATATATTGCATTTCATTTTTCTGCCTCTTTAGCCACATTTAATTGGGAACAGTTCCTAAGCCTTTTTTCTCTTTTATAAAATTAATACTTTTGAAGACTACAGGCCCTTTTTGAAAACAGGATGTTTGGTTGTCTGTTGTTTCCTCATGATCAAATCCAGATGTACATCCCTGGCTGGCACTCAGTCAGGAAGACAGTGTGTCTTTTTCCAGGATATTGAACCCAGAGGCACAGCATCCACCTGACTTGCACTTATAATTAATTTTGATCAGCTGGCTAAGGAGCTATCTAGCTTTTCTGTGGTATTACCACTTTCCCTCTGATAACCAAGTAAGACTTGTTCTTACCTACGTGCTGTCTTGGGAACCTAACACAACTAAATGCTGATTGTTGAGAATCCATAAAACATAGAATCACGGAACGTTATAATGGGAAGTTCCCTTAGAATTGGCAAGAGCGTGTGTACGTATATACATTTTAAGAGACTTTTCAAAGCACCTTTAGGGCCCCAGCAAAACTGAGAAGTAAACACCCTGTCCTCTAGGCACAGCCTCTCTCACCATGAGCATCCCACACCAGAGTGGTACACATTCAGTTGAGGAACCAGCACTGACCTGTCATTATCATCCAGAGCCTGTAGTTTACATTCTGGTTCACTCTTGATGTTGTATATTACAAATGTGTTTTTTAAAAGTCAATGTAGAATATATATTTGCTGAACTCCAAATATGTGGGGCTCTTGCTTTGTTAAATTCTTTCATGAGAAATACATTTTTCTGTATTTTGTTTTTAATTATGCCTCTTCTTTTGATCCCTCTTACAATGATTCTATCTTTATAGTTTACTTCGCTTTAAGGTCGGCTTTTAATACCATATCGACAGAGAGAGAGAGACTGAAGCAGCTGATGGAACAGGATGCCTCCTCCTCCCCTTCTGCTCAGGCCATTGGTCTGAAGCACGCTCTGTCGTCCGTAAGTTATGTGTGTGTGTTGGAGACGTGATTGCAGATGTGTTCATTGCTTATCTTTTCCATTTCCATGATTTTCATGGTGGCGTTGAAAATTCAAGGGAAAACGAAACTATCCAAATTGTATTTTAACCTTTTATCAGATCTGCTTATTCTAAATAAGAAAACCTAGCCTACCCCAAGTCTTCATAGCTATAGTTTATTAAGTGTTAAATTCTTTAAGTTTGGTTTCCTCCAATTTATCTGAATTTTTCTGTTTCTTTACTGTGTGTCTGTGTGTGCCTTACAGACATGTTTGTTAGTGCTTACAGAATCTGACAGGCTGGCAGAGCTTTTTGGACGTGGGATACTACAAGCTTAGATTGACTCAGCAAATGACAGGTGGCAGAGAGAAATTTCCAATTTACCCTCTTGTCTTCTCTCCTGCAAAGCACTGATCCTTCTTAACCGTCCTTTCAAAGACATGAAAGTTATTTTATTTTATTAAATAGCACAAAACATTTAGCTTTTTGCCCCCAGGGGCACAAAGAGATGCTTCCTACAGAAGCGTCTGTCAGGTAATAACTGCGCCTTCACAACAACACAAAAATCACTGTCAGGGCCGCGGATGTTTTTCCATAAGCCATCCTGTCACTCACTTTCTTCTTTTGTTCAGTTCATTCCTCAGAATAGTCGCACTCTGTGATTGATGTCTCACGTCCTAACCCTATCTAAGTGGCTGAAATTGTCTGGAAATTCATTCTTTATCTAGCAAGAAGCTAGAAATTTTTGAAATAGCATGCTTGTTTTTGCTTTTGCTCTTTGCTTGGAATCCTGGCTTTTCTGTGTGTGAAATGTGCACATATGAAACTACCATCTGAAGAAGTACTGAGTTTTCTATTTTAGGTCAGGTAAGGGAGATGAATTTTAGGATGTTGTTACCAGAAGCCAGTATGAGCATGAAAATGTCTACATTTTTGCTCATCGTGTTTCTGAGAGAAGCCATGCTTCTGGTATAATATTAACGATATATCCTTTACAATTTTTAAATGATATTCACTAAGTTGAGAATTTGAGGTATATTGTTTTTAAAAGAAGAAGTGACAACATCAGCTCTCTGCGTATGTAGAGTCTTTAGAGATGTCAGAGATAGAAAAACATCCTTTTGGATTGTAGTGAAGAGCCAGCCATTGAGTTGCTAGTTAGCAAAGTGGTTTTTTTTTTAAGAGTTTTACTCAGTTCTTACTGTTTCCGTCAGGGTAGCTTTTAGTGCATTTGCGAGGTACCTCCGATGGGCTCTGCAAAGTTTCTTTCCCTCTTCCTGCCCGCATGCCACTCACGCAAGTCTGGCCTCATCTCATTCACCTGCTTGTGTGGCCACTGAGGCTCATCTGGCCATGTATCTTGGGCCAAAGTGAACTTCACCTTTGCTATAAGAAATTCACTCTCACTCATTGTCTTAGTTACTTTTCTACTGATGCTAAGACAAAATACCTGATTCCCAAAATTAAGAAAGGGGAGTTTTATTTGCCTCACAGTTTTTGAAGGTTTCAGTCTGTAATCATCTGGCTCCAAGGCAGGGTGGCATGGCATAGGAGCAGCAGCTTAAGGTGGCAGAAGACAGCAAAAGCAACAAGAGCAGAAAGGGGAGGAGAATAAGCCTCTTCTCCTTTGCATTATATGCAGCCTACCTGCCCCTTAGGTTTGGAGTAGCACTCATACCATCTGGGTGCCCTCCTCTTGCACAGGATGAGGATGTTTACCAGTAAGGACCCTGGCTCCCTGCTGAGTTGCTTAAACTTCTAAACTTAAGTTGACACAATGAATAACATCCTAGGGGTAAGAGTATGTTCTCTATACCCCAGGATATAAATCTGCTGAGTTACTTAGTTAAGCTTCTAGAATTCTCAAATTGACACAATATGTCAACCACTATACCCACTACACTCATGACCATGATTTTAGAAAATTAAAACAGAAGGATCTTCTCTTTCCATTTTAGTTTAGGTTCCTGATTTGGTCCAAGCTTTGTCTTTTTAAAAATAAATTTTTAGGTTCCTCTCACAGCTGTCAGAGTAGATATGCTGGGGCTGTGTGTTGCCATCTTGGCGTGTTTCTTTCTTATTTCCATGAGGCTTACAAAAGAATCTTCTAAAATAGCATAATTTGAAGTCTAGGCTAAGATCCCAGCTACTGTACCAGTGAGACAGTGGCCAGGATGAGATGAGCGCTCCAAAGAGAATGCTGTATGCGGCTGTATGAGTTCAGTGTTTCTTAAATGATCCTCAAGGATTTTTGAATAACCCAGTACCTTCCATGGATACTGAAAAGGTGATACAAGGTGGAGTGGAGGGCAAGGCAGTACCATATCCCTCTGGACTCTCAGAAGGTGGTCCCTGCAGACCCTGGTGGATGGGAAATGCTCTAAGCTTCTTAGAAGAGAGTCAGGAAGACAGACAGGATACATCCACATTAAAATACCTCTGGAGCAGATTATGGGAGTGTTTAGGGGTAATCAGGAGAGCTTGTTTCCCTTCAAAGCCAGACAGTTTGGAGAATAGTTGGTTGTGCAGTGCACAGGAATATCAGCAAGAAAGATACATCTTCTTTTAGCTTTGAGCAGGTTCTTCCTAGTTAAGAGTGGGGCCTACTCAGGAGAGGTCTGATTGGTCTCAGATATGCTCACAGCGCACATCCACCCATTCCCGAGGCCACTGTCTGTAAGCCCTTATGCAGGTAAGTGAGATTGGCTTATTAAAACAAAACAAAACAAAACAAAACAAAAATGGAAAAAAGAAAGAAATTGTCTTAGTCCTAAAATATAATCAACACCTATATTGGAAAAGAGTAAAATTAACCTTCCACAAAGTTCTGCTTCCCAGCACCTTCCTGAGATCCAGTTTAGCTGGTGTGATAATGAAATCACATTTAACTAGGTTTGATCACAAGGTGAGAGCAGCATTGTTTCAAGAATGAGTAAAGCTTGGAATTCTTGCTGGGGCTGAGGGGTGGACAATGAAACCAAAGACCCTTGATTGGGAGAGGGAGATGCTATGGGGCCACTAACCTTAATAACACTGGTGGTGTGTGTGACTTCCTTCTGTCACCCTTACCACCCCTTCTATCTCTGGAGATGTGATCAGCAATACAGCATTATTTCCAGAGTCCCCTGTGTGTTACCTCTGTGTGTCTCACATATGCCTCCAACTGAAGAGCTTCTGGAGCAACCCCAGAAGTGCCCCTTGGGCCTCCAACACCAGAGCTTTCTCAGCTCTCAGAGAGCTCTTCTGCTGGGCCCCCTGCTGTCCTTCCCTGAAACATGCACTTATTAACGGAGCACCACTATTTTTAACATGTTCCAGGCCATAGCGCAAAACACAGACCTTAAAGAACGCTTACGCAGAATCCATGCCGAGTCTCTGCTCCTCGACCCGCCTGCTGTTGCCAAGTTGGGTGACAATCTAGCAGAGGTGGGTAGGTTTCTCATCGGGTAACCTCTCTGTGACTGCCACTGCCTCCCATGATGTCCTCGGCTCAGTTGCATGGTCTCCCTGCTTTTACCTGACTGAGTGGTGTTTGCCTTTCCACTGCCTCCCCTGGGCGCTGGGCACAGCTGGGCGCTGCCGCAGCTGCTGCATGGGCTGGGCTCTCAGGATTTAAAATTTTTTCATGAGAGTATTGTTATGCACAGCCTCAAGCTGCTTTTTTCCTCAGCTTCTTCCTTTTGTATTTCTTTACCTTATTCTCCTCCGTATCACTCCTTTTACTAGCTGTTACTGGAGTAGGGATGATATAGAGAGACAGCAATTTTTCCTGTCATTTCTGAAGAGACATAAATTTTTCAATTCTTTTTTTTTTTTTTTTGTACCAGGAATCAAACTCAGGACGTTGAGCTTGTCAGGCATGCACTTCTGCTGCTGAGCTATCTCCCTGGCAAGCCTAAATTTTTGTGACCTGTCATACCCAGTTCCTTGCCGGCTTTCTTTTCTCAGTCCATAAAAACTGTGCCATTCTTTCTTTTTTATAGAACACAGTGTTGCACTTTGAGGGAAAAAAAGTGTTGCATTACAATTGAAATCTCTTGGTCAATAAACAGCACCAGATCCAAACTGTCACCTGCAGACTGTAACACCGTACTAGTCCTTATGATGGTCTTCCTTTCCGGCCTGGGCCAAAGCATGGCTTCACAGGCAGACTGTCCATTGAATCTGCACACTCACTTAAACCAGGGCCCAGTTGCAGGCACGACTGGCCATCAGTCAGGGTTGTCTGCTGCCAAATACCATGGCAGTCTCTGGTTGCATTTGTATTTTGCGGATGGTATTTACCGCATACGTGGTATATCCTATACATTACATTTGTGCATGTGAGGAGTAGTTAGGTAACTTCCACTTATGCCTCTGTGAGTTTGTGCTCAGTGTGCATACTTGGGCCCATTTACGTTTTGGGCTAAAAACCAAAATCCTAAGTATTTAAAAAAATGAATATTTTTAGACTGATCTCAAAATTAATGTACCAGAAAGTTGAAATGCCATAAATTGTCCTTGTGGAGCAACCTCAGACTCACATCTTCCAAAACAGCTTCTTGCATCTCTAATCATGTCTCATTTATTTCCTTTTCCAGATACTTTTCTGTTCCCATGATTTATCCTTTTTTCCTCCGAATGACTCAGGCTTACTTTCCCAGCAAGGCAAAAGCCATTGTTGTCTTCAGGAAATAAGAACAACAGTGGAAATGGCCACCCAGACTGAGCATTTAAGTCCAGTTTGTTTTTCACAGATAGCTCTCAGGCCCCTCAAGTGCTACTCTGTTGGGAAATGGCAGTCCCTGAATGGTGGAGTCAGCCCAGGGGCTCTGTTTGTAGGACCTGACGCTGACTTTGTTACCTTTAGTTCCTCCTTTTATCTGCACAGATTACCCATCTTTGATGTTGGATTTGGAGACTTGAATTCCAAAATCCACGTTTTCCGGTCTAAATTTCTCCCACAACCTATCACTCCCTCCCAGTTTCATATTCCCAAATGTACAAATTTAATATTTTTAGATGATCAGTTCTTTATTATATATTGTTTTAGATTCCACATGGAAGGTCAGGTGACTTTTGGTCTGAACGTCCTTGTACATCTAAAGTCCATTTAAGAGACTGAAAAGGCAAAAACTTAAAAAGGGTCTAAACGCGAAGAAGGGAACTTAATTCTTTTAATTGCCTACCTGCTTGCTGTGTTCTTAACATTGGAATACGTTATCTCACAAGTTCCTGACCTTTACTTTATGAACTAAGTGGCGGTCCCTTTCATTTTAGATGGTCTTCCTTTCCGGCCTGGGCCAAAGCATGGCTTCACAGGCCGACTGTCCATTGAATCTGCACACTCACTTAAAAAATAAAAACAATATATAATAAAGTCCCTTTCATTTTAGAAAAAAGGAAGGGAAAGCCCGGAGTGGTTAAATAACTAACTTCTCCCAGACATGCAACTTACAAGAGACAAAGCTGAGATTTAAATCCGTACCTAATGAGGCCAAAATGCGTGTTTTGTCACGAGCTGCTTAGTGCTGTATAAAGAGAAAAGACAGGCTGAGCCAGACAAGAAGTCACTGAAGCTCCACTAGTTAAAATAAGGTGGGGATGCTTTGGAAACAAGGCAGAGTAACTGTCTCAGGGATAAACACCATTTTATATATAAAAAATAAATACATAGATGAGAACAACATCAAAAGCCAATGGGAAAGAAATGGATTCTCCAATAAATTAGATCAGTGCAGCTCAAAACAATTTGGAGAGAAGTGTAAGTCTTTCCACTGCCTGCCAAAATGAGTCATCAGTCAGTTTGAGTTAAATAAGAAAGTTCAGACTGAAAAATATTGAATATTCATCAAGCTCCTAGAGCAGAGAGGATTTCCTAAATTGAAGAGTAATAGAAAAAATTGCTAAAGAAATGTTGACTAAATCTGACTATTATTTTGGGGGGAAAAATGGTGTGTGTCAAAAACTGAAGCAAATAATAAGACTAAGAAAAATATTGTCATTGAAAATGACAGGCTTAGATAATTCAAAATCAGTGGCAATGTTTTTAGAACTTAAGCAACAAACAAATAATAAGTAATGTAAGACCTCACCTAGTAAATGGAAAATGGATATAATTCACTCACACACACACACACACACACACACACACACACGCAGTTAAGCGTGGAGTTTTGTTTTTCATTTCTTATTTTTCAGTTCAGGTATGCATCACTTTAGCCAGTAGGATATCTTCTCAGCAATACCTCATTGTGTGACATATAGCATGTGTATACAAACCTAGATGGTATAACCTGCTGTATACCTACGCTAAGTGGAACACACACCTGGGCTGTGTGCTATAACCTATTTTTACAATGTCTTATGGTTTTGTTTTTATTTTTTGTACTTTCTTGCTAAAAATTAAGGGCACACATTAAATGAGGCCTGCACAGAGTCAGGATTATCAGTAGCACTATTTCCCGTCCCTGCATCGCATCCCATTAGATGGTCCTCAGGGGCAAAAAAATAAACGGGTCTGTCACCTCCTGTGAGAGCAGTGCTTCTTCTGAATCCCTCAGCCTGTCACTGTTTCACTGATTACTCATGTTTCGTATATAAGTAGGTCTACACTCTAGAATAATGACATACATAATCCAGTAGCATAATCGCATATTCCCATTATTAGGCATTATATACTATACATAATTATACGTGGTTATACTTTTATATGACTGGAAAGTGCCGTGGGTTTGTTTATATCGGCATCACCGCAAACATGAGTCAGACCTTTTACTGTGTCATTTTTTACAACTACGACATCAGTAAGAGATAGGAATTTTATGTGACCCTTTGACAGAGATATCATTATATGGTATCTGATTGTACTTACAAAATCACAGGAAGGTACAAAGCAATGCAAAGGGAAGTCCTATGCTCCCTTACCCATCCTCTCTCCACGTTAATACTCTGGCTTGTTTCTTAAAAAGAAAGAACTAACTGTTCAGACTAATAAAAATGAAAACAATTAGATTAGCAAAAAACATTCTTTTCAATGATGGTATTAGGGTCCAGGGATATAGCTCAGTTGGCATAGTGCCTGCCTGTCAAGTGCAAAGTCCTGAGTTCGATTCCCAGTACCAAAAAACCAACCAAACAAATAAACAAACAAAAATAATGGTATTCAGTGCCCTTAATATAAGGATGTAAACAAAATAGTTTGCTTGTTGAAGTAATTAAGTAATACATATATATATATAATATATATATATATTACATATATATTGCCTTAAACATTTTTAATGATTCTACTTCTGAAAATTGATCATAACAAATAACAAGATATGAACAAAGACGTATTTACAAACATACCATCTGCAAACCTGGAAACACCCTTAACTTCCAATACAAGGAATTATTACTTGAGGGTACATACATATAATAAAATATCTATCACTGAACTTTATTGTCTCAGAGAAATTTTAATGGCCTGGGAAGATGTCCACAATATATTAAGTTAATGTAGCAGACAATCTTCAAGTTGTATATACTTTGATCAGTTTTTTAAGGAAAAAATCCCTAAAACCTCCAAAACCATATGCAGTTTTTTTTTTGAGACAGAGTCTCAGTTCAGGCTAACCTTGAACTTGCTATGTAACCCAGGCTGGCCTTGAACTCACAGCAATCCTCCTGCCTCAGCCTCCTGAGTACTGGGATTACAGGCACATACCACCATACTCTGCCAATATGCAATATTTTAATACAAAAATTGTACCAAGGAATTAGTAAGAGCCACATCTAGGTGATGGGACTCTAAGTGATATTTACTTAGATTTTTTATGTATTTTTTATTTTGAAAATACTGTACTTTTATTCTCAGAGGCCATGTTAATATTGAAAAAATACTCTGGGTGCAGTATTTGAGAAAAGTTCATAAAATTTTATATATATATATATATATATATAGTATAATTACAGTTATTTCAAAACAAAGCACAACTACATGTACCAACTCCCCACAATAAATGTAATTATTATGTATTGAAAACATGTACAAAAAAAGATTGGAGAGAAATGTGTCCAAGTGGCTTTAGTAGTTTTCTTACTGCGATGAGATTTAATTCCCTTTCTTCATTCTGTTTGACTTTTTGAAGTGTAAACAATTGATGATCTGAGTTACAAACACTGAGGGGAAAAGTTGAATTGAACTGTGTTAATATTTTAATATGTAACATCCTAAGTTGCTCAGGAACTGCTGAGGGTTGAGGGCTGCTGCAGTCCTGACGAGTGTTCAGTACTAATTCTTAGGAAGTTGCCAGAGTGGAAGGACACCAGAAGAGGGTAGGGGATAGGGTAATGGGTTGAGAATCCCTAGGCAAAAATACAAAACCTGAAATGTTCTGGAATCGAAAACTGAGCACCACCACAATGCCACAAGTGGAAAATTCCACACCTGACCTACAGTGATAGGTCTCAGTTTAAATTCAAGTGCACTAAAAATATTTTATAGGATTATCTTCAGGCTGTGAGGTACAGTATATGTGAAACATAAATGAATTTCATGTTTAGAGTTCAGTCCCGTTATGTGCATTCACATATTCCAAAGTCCCCCAAAATCGGAAACCTGAAACACATCTGATCCCAAGCATTTCAGAAAAGCGATTCTCGGCTGTGTTATTTCCAATGCTGATCAGACAGGAAATCCTCCTGACCCATCAGTCTAGGAGGAGGAAGATAGAGAGCAAGAGTACATCATGATGAATTAATGAGTAGCACGTATAAATAAGTCATTAGCATCTCACATGGCAGAGCACACTGGAGACCCAGGAAGATTCCGTTATCTCTGAGAGGGTAAAGGAGCTCAGCTAGTTGTTACTGTGTCTTCAAACTCAGGAGCTTTGTGCCCGGCTTTTGGTAGATAGATACTGTTCCTTTAAGATGACAGCTGTGATGGTTATTTATAGAGCCTACAGTGATCTCTTTGTTAAAGTAAAAAAGAAGCTGGCTTCTCAGAAAAATGCATGGATATTGAAATAAGTGGTATTTCTAAACCAATACCTTGAACAAATACCTTATTTAGGAAAACTCCAAGAGAAAGGGGTAGATATTTCCATGTGTCCCCAGTGTAAACAATTCATAAAGGAACACTTTTCCCTTTTATTAACTGTGAAAATGTGCTGAAGCCCTCCTATCCTAGCATCCCCTCCTTGGGCATAATTTGTATTTGAGACAGAGCAATGTGTCCTGAATTTATAAAACCTCTGGGCATCGTCTGCCTTAGTGTCTGTTCCCCACATTATTTGGGACTTGCACATCAGGCATGTAATGACATAGAAGCAGCTGCTTAACCAACGCAGTGAAAAGTGTGAGCTGTTCACGTGCTCAGGGGAATGAATGCTTTTTCCCCTCTGAGCCCAAAGAGTCAAATCATCTTGTCTTAAATCTGTTCTTTTGCCTCAAGGTCTAGGTCAGATGTCACCAAACCGAACACAATCTCACCTTAGCTTTAAGATGACGGCTGTGATAGTTATTTATAGAGTCTACAGTGATCTCTTTGTTAGAGTAAAGCAAAAAGCTTAGTTTCTATAGCCCTTTATCTCTTCACAGTCTTGGTCTAATGTGTTTTGGGGGTGTGCCCCCCCTACCACTCACTCAGATCAAAACCTTCTTATCTTTTATCATATTTCTCCATGGCCAGCTGAGGACTGTATACAAATCAGTTGCCTAATGTACTGAGTTGAGTTGAACTTTAACTTGCAAGTAGAATAGAAAGCAAACTACCTGAGTGAACACTGTCCTTCTATTTATAGCACAAGTCCAGAACCAGAGGAGTTAAGAGTGGAAAGCCATGTGAGATGAGAAAATAGTGATGATTTGTTGTTTGTGTAGAGAATTACACTGCAGATTGGGGGTTTCCTTCTCTTGAACAGCCATTGTTGGTGGGAAGAGACAGACAAAGAGAATTAATCTCACTCATCCATGAATAATGCATGAGCTGCTACCAGGGGCACTGCTGAACAAAAACACTGTCTCAGGGGACACCTCAAAAGTAGCACATTGGCCTTTGAGAGTTCATGGGGCAGAAGAAAGCTGTGCTGCCTGGAATCAGCCATGTAAGGATGGGCATTCAGTACAATTCTGAGGAAATTTCAGGTTGAAAAGATGCATCATGCCGTAGTAGAGAATAAGCAGATATAATTCACAGAACGTTGGAATTTTCCCCTTCAGTTGGATCAAAGACTGACCTGGATAGCTGTTTTTGGCTTAAGATTCACAGCACTTGTCTGAGCAGTGCCTATAAATGCAGTGTCTGTTTGGGGGGGAACTTCGCTTTTCATTTTGTTTTGTGTGAGGCTTATTCTCTGCTTTGGCACTGACCTCTGCTTTGTTTGCACGGGACTGACACCTTGTGTATTAAACAACTAAAACCCTTGTTTTTTCCTGCTGTTGTTGTTTGTTTGTTTGCATCTCTTGAGACTGTTTCTGAATATATGCATTTTTGGTTTTGTTCTTCACATAGGAAAACTCCAGAGATGAAAACCGAGCTCTGGTCCATCAGCTTTCCAATGAAAGCAGGCTCTCCATCACTGACTCCCTTTCGGAGTTTTTTGATGCACAGGAAGTTCTGTTGTCTCCAAGCTCTTCAGAAAATGAGGTTTGAGCATGGTTTTCCATTAGATGCTTTGACAATTACTTTTGTGTCTTTGTTGATAAACGTGTTCAGTAAAGACTTATACGTAGAAACACAAAACTCACAGGCCTTTTTCCACCATGGAATTCTGATTGTTCTCTTTCGGGTCACACCCAAAAAGCACAAAATGGTTTGATAGGCTACAAGAAAAAAGTTATACATGTAGAGAATGTTAGACACCTCCTCATTTCTGTCATTTTGTTACATTTTCATTACAGATTGATAATTCTGACTTTTATTTAGTAATGCTGTATTTCTACTATAGGAAAAACAATTAACATTCTGTGTATTTTTAATTATGTTAACTTTATGATATAATTTTATGTTATTATAATGTGATTAACATAATTATTTAATGTGATTAACAGTATTAATTTACAGAATATAGTATTGCCTTAAATTCATACATAAAAATCATCTTTCTGGAATAGGCAAATACCATAGTTAGCATTACTGTGGGTATATGTGCATTAATAAATGCGCTCCTTAAATACAGAAATAGTAACATTGTTGATGTATTAATTTCCATAGCAAATTCTTTTTTTCATAAACAGCTCAAAGATAAATTGTAACTCCTCTACTCAAATAGTAACAAATTCTGAAAGTGCAATGTGAATTAATAAGAATTTTTATAGTAAGAGAAATCTTGAGTTTATTTATTTCACTATTAGTGCTAACCAAGAATATGTGAGAATTTAATAGCAGTTGTTTTGCTATGAGCACTGCCTAGACAAATTAATATGTGGGCCTCTATGAAAAATAGCACCCAAAATTCTTTCTGTTGCTTCATAACGTGGAGTTCAACACATTTGATCATTTGGAATAAGGGATTTATGAGAATCTGGCTATTGTTTACTCTTACTCTAATGTGTATTATTTCTTCTTTCTCATAGATTTCTGATGATGATTCATACGTCAGTGACATAAGTGATAACCTTTCCTTAGACAACCTTAGTAATGATTTAGATAATGAAAGACAGACCTTGGGTAAGATTTACAGTATTTGATCTCTGAAAGCTTTCTTCTTTATAGAATCCTAGTAAGTATATATAGCAGGTACTACATGGAAAAATTGTAAAGTGTAAAGTCAGTTTCTGGTTGGGGTGACGGGTCCCCGAAAATGAGCTGCAGTGGATGACGAGAGAGAAAGTTATAGGATCAAGGGGCAGCAGCCTCTCTGACTGAAGCTTCAGTGACAAGCTGCTTTAGCCTTTTATTGAGATACAAACAAAAGCAGCAACAAGGCAAATGGGAGGAATAATTAACAGGATTAGCAAGGACAGTGCAATTTAATTATCACAGGAATGAGACTTGACTTAGTTAGCCATCATGTTATCATTCCTTCCTGGAATATCTCATCAAAGCATCTAGTGTTGTCCCGAGCAGCTTTCCACAGGGACTATGGTCCTGCTACCATTTCCTTTTACACTAATACTTTTGAGAGACTTCCTCCCGAATCAAACAATTGTATGGCTTGGTCAGGCTCAAAGTTCCAAATAGGTAATATATTGAAAGGTGAACAATAAAATGTCCTTCTCCATACTCCAGGATTTTATAATCTAGGTGAGGAAACATCACCCATATGTGAAAGATAGATACATTTAAATCAGTTTGTCTGCATGTAAAGCTTTTTATTTTACACAGTGAGGGTATGATATATATATATATATATATTCTCTCTACAAAGAGAATTAGAAAATGGCTCCTTATCTTTAGGCATCTAAGGGTTTTTAAAACTTAAGAATTTGACAGAGCACATATAATAAAAGTTGGTTCTAAGTGGTAATTTAGCTTCAGATTATTCAAAATAATACACTTCTACCTCCCCTCCCCTCAAGGTATCCTAAGATGTCTCTTTATTACTTTATTTCCCCAAAAGGGAAAACAATGACTAAGAAAGGTATTTTACAATGTTAGTTTGAACTGAGGAGTACCTGGATTGTCGGGCTAGTCTCAAAGAGTTCTGATTTAGAGCTTCAGTCAGCAGGCTGACGCCTGTTTATGAAGAGGCCCTTAGAAGAATCTGCCCAATGGGATAGTTCTCTCCATGGGTCCTCATAGCATCAAATGTTCCCAGTCTTAATGCTCAGTGTGCCCTGGGGTCTGTAGTTTGTCCTACTCAAAGCACCACCTATTTTCACATCAACATGGAGGACAGGGACTATATCAGGTATGTTCATTAGTACTTTGGTGTTTCTTGGCTCAGTGAGTAATTGTGAACTATGATGATGAATTTTTGTTGAAACACTAACACGCTGCTTCTTTGGGGACCACAATATACATAAAGGCAAGTAGATAAATTTCCCATCATCTGAGTAAACATCTTTTCGGCATTGCACCTGCTAGCAGTAGATGCTTGTTGTGCTCTGTATTCTGCTTGACATGTTTCTGCAGAGATGAACCCCTTGGTGGAAAAGTCAAAGGACCAATGAGTCTAAAGTAGAAAGCTAATAATACAGGAGTATGTTCATGTGCTCCTTGTTTTTCTAGGAAAATAAGGAAGCAGATTAAAAAGAGAGATGAAGAAGCACCACTTACTCCCTTGGCAAACAGCACACACACTAATGCAGTGCCCCCACCTATAGATGAGGAAAAAGAAAAAAGCTGAAGGCCTGCATCTCCTGCAGGCCTCAGAAAGGGAGCAAAAGGGAGCAAAGGATGAATGAGGGGTTCAGATGCTCACCTGTATTGCTTTAGCTAAAACAAACACTGGGCAGGATCAAGTTTTCTTCTTAGTCTGTATTTGAACCTGAGAAATGACTGTTCCCTAGTTCTCCGAAGACAATGGCTGAGGAAAATTTGACTTCTTAGTATTTTGAAGAGATAGATGTGGAAATAATCTTTATGTCCTGTAAGTTTTACCTACAGAAGGAAATAGGATAGAATCAAGGTCTTGATCTTTTGTTGCACTAGAATTTTGCCTTGCTTATAGTAAGCATGCGGTATTTAGAATATTAGTTTCCCAAAAAATCACCGGCACATGTGAGGATCTGTCCCTGTGCTGGATGCTATGGGGAGGACAGATGGCTAAGGACATGGATTTAGGGAACTCCAGGTGTGCCACTCACTGTTCGCGTGTGCTAGGACAAGTTGCTATTGTTCTTCATTTGTTTCATCTGTAAAATGGAGACAATAATACTCTGTATACCTCTAAAGATAGTTATAAAAAATAATGAGTTTATCTTTCTTTTAATAGCTGAGTAATACTCCATTGTATAAAAATACCACATCTTTTTTATCCATTCCTCAGTGGATGGGCATTTGGGTTGTTCCCAAGATTTAGCTATGACAAATTGTGCTGTTATAAACATGGATGCACAGATATCGCTGTGGTGTGGTGTTTTTAATTCTTCTGGGAAGATACACAGATAAAGCCCAAAATGTACAATAGATATTATAAAAATAAATAAATAAATGAGACTAGTACATGTAAAATGCTTAGACTGACCATCACAGAATAAAAAGCAAAATACGTGTAATCCATACTAGTAGTATTAGAATAATGGGAAATAACATTATTCCAAAATTTAAATTTGTATGATCAAAGAAAATACTATGAAACTCCCTAGAAAGCTGCTTTCAAAAACTCCTACCACTTGCAGCTGCTTCCTTAAGTCAGATTTTTCTCATAAGCAATTGAAATAATTTAAATATTAATTCAAATTTCATATTTTTCTGTTCACAAAAGCAGTTTCTTTATCCAGAGCAACTGGTTTTGTAATGAGTAAGTGCTATATATTTATGTTTAATAAATAAAGATACACCAAAAAATACACTGGTTCAATGCAAAAGATGTCATTTGAACATATGAGCAGTTAGGATGGGAAAGGAATTTCAGGGCATAAGTTAAAGGGATTGATAGATTTTTATCTAACATATAAAAATTTCATTCCCCAAAACCTTCCATGGACCAAATGAAAATTAAATTGTAAGGCAAATATAAAAATAAAAGATCATGACTTAATATGTACATAGAAGGCAAACAAGTCAACCAAGAAGAAATGCTCATAAAAACGTTCCAAACCATACCAGAAACTTCTTAAATGTAAGTTAAAACAAGGGAATAACATCGCTACCTAACAGTTTGATAAAACTTAAAAACAAATAGTGCGAAGCCTGGAAGGCCTCAAAAAATGAATATTCAGATCTATTTCCAGTAAACAAAAATATTGGTACAATCTTTTGAAGAGCATTCTGATCACATGAGTCAAAAGTCTAAAAGCATTCATAATCTCTGAGATAGTAATTCCACTGTTGTATATGCCAAGAATATAATCTGAGGTTCACAACAATATCTAAGTACGTGAACATTCACTACTGATGCTTTTGTTGATTTTGTTTTGTTTGCTTCATAATGAAACATTGAAACAAATCTAATAGTCTAACAGTGGTCTAACAATTCACTAAAATATAGCATATCTATAAATGGAATATTTTTACAATCATTTGCAGTGATGTTTTGGAAGAATTTTAAATAATGTGGAAAAACATTCCTGTTAGGTAAAAAAGCCAAACATGGAACTATATGTACGTTGTGAAACTATGTGGACGAAGAAAACGCTAAGTGAAGATATTCTAAAATATAAATGCTATTTTGAGGTGGCAAAATAATGAGTGACTATTATGTCCTGTATTATTGTTCTGTGATAAACACAATTGTTTTTATTAGAATTTGAAGTGATTTGTTAAAAAAAAGTTAGTTTTTGTAAGTGACATCTGTTACAGGCATAGAAACTCGATTTCCAGGTTTTTTTTCTTTTAAGAACATAAGGGAAAGAGAAACTGGGAATGAAGAAAAGAAAGGCACTAATAAAAAAATAAAAATAAAAACAAAAAGTAGGGAGAGGAAGCTGTTAATTAAAACACTTATTTTATCCAGTGAGAAAAAAAAAGGCAGGGCAAAGCAAAAAAAAAAAGAAAAGAAAAGAAAAAATATATATATTAGTAGCATAAGATAGTTATACTACTAATTTCTCTTAGTTCATTGAAAAAAAGTTTGTGCTAATGTTGTTTGAACAATTAAATGCGGATATCTTGTACTGAGTAACCTAATTTAAAGATAACAATATGCAGTGTGTTAACCATTGTTATTCTCCTTTTATCTTGTTTTGAAATTTTTTTCTTTTTTTTTTTTTTTTTTGGTTTTTTTCTCCGGTACCGGGAACCAAACTCACGACCTTGCGCTTGCCAGGCAGGTGCTGTGCCACTGAGCTAAATCCCCAGCCCTTTTTCTCTTTTGAATTTTTTTTTTTTCGGTATCAGGAATCGAACTCATGACCTTGCACTTGCTGGGCAGGCGCTGTGCCACTGAGCTAAAAATCCCTAGCCCCTCTCTTTAAAATTAAAGAAAAGGAACTTAAGAGCCTTTCTGTGAATACATTTCATGCATTTTAATGTGTGCAGTTTTGTGATTTGTATTTATTTTGTGGTGCTAGAGATTGAAACCATGGCTATGCATAGGCTTCTTGCTAAACCCTAATTTTTGGTATTGAATTGCCCAAAATTCTTTTCCTTATTTTCTGGCTTTCAGTCACACTCTAGGTAAATGAGTTTCGTGGTAAAATCAGGACTTGCCAAGTAGGGTTTAATACAAAGAGTTGTTACTTCCGTAATAGCATAAAATGAAAAAATTGATAGAGACAGCCAAGTCTTTGCCTCTCAGGGCCTGTCCTCGAACATGGTGAGGGAGTGAGGTCCCAGAGAAGGACGTGCCTGCCCGCTCCGGGTCCCAACACCAGCAACATCAGCCTGTGGAACATCCTGCGCAACAACATCGGGAAGGACCTGTCCAAGGTGGCCATGCCTGTGGAGCTGAACGAGCCCCTGAACACCTTGCAGAGGCTCTGTGAGGAGCTGGAATACAGCGAGCTGCTGGACAAGGCGGCACGGATCCCTAGCCCGCTGGAAAGGATGGTGAGGACTCAGCCTACCTGTGGCCTTGTTGTCCAGCTTGTCCCCTACCCTGGGCCATTCTTCTGGGCCTCTCAGAGCCAAGACGGGTAGAGCTCCCATCTTGCTGTCTGCTTTGAACCGTGGCTGCTCCTTGGAGAGGTTCCTCCCCGAGCCACCTGGCTCCCCTCTGCCTGGCTGTGCAGCTACCGCTCAGGATCTTCCCTGGTGCCAGAGGTGTTTGTGCTCTCTGGTTCTGTGCTTCCCTCTCCAGAACCTTCTGTCTGATGGTTCTGACAGGCTTGGCTGGAAAACATAGCTTTAGTGTTCTTAGCATATTTATTTTTACTACCCCAAGTGGACAGAACTCAATTTCTTGAGCTATTTTTCTCATCCAGAGTAAATGTCCCTTGAGAATGTCTCTGTTTATTTCTGAAATTGTTCCATCGCTTCCTAGGTTTTCAGAAAATTCTGTTCATAGAAGAGGTTTTTACATCGCAAAGATTCCCTTTTTTCTCACTCGTACTTTATAGAGTAAGTTTTTTTTTTTAAACCTCTTCCTTGAAACTATTGAAAAATTTTATTCTGAAAATTATTCTTTTGGTGTCCCATGTGTGACTAATAAGGGCCTTGTCTGGGTTGGTCGCTGGGGCTTCCATGTCCCCCAAATGCGGACCCTCCCCACCTTTTCTATGGCTAAGTTGGAATTGGGACACATTCCCCTTCCCCATCACAGACCTAGCGCCCCACCACCTTCCCACTAATAGATGATTCCATCTTTTCTAAATTCAGTGTACTCGGCAGGTTTAACCCCCATGAAAACTTCATTACTTGAGTAGTTTGAAGATTAAAGGGAAATCTAAGTCACTGGCCAAAAGAAGACATACATCCTTCTTCCTTCTGCTCTGGGCCTCCCCCATCAAATAGACTTTCCTTTTTTCCTTGACGCTAATGTAATAAGGACAGGACAGAGGAAGAAAAAAGCTGTGTCTGTTTGTGTTTCAAATCTTTGTTACTTTCCTCCAGAGAATTTCTGCTGTAAAAATAGAGGCAAACAGCTTTTAAGGCAAGTGTTAAAAGTCAACATTTGTGGGTAGCTTTTTTTTTTTCTTTAAAGAAAACGGTTGGCTTTGATGATGAGAATATTCTCAAAGATGGTCAGTTCTTATGGGAATTTAGAGACCCTTAGGATGTTCCGCTGATTGATCCATCTATTTGACATTGAGCAGAAGTTTGAGGAAAACTTCACCTCCCTGGCACAGCCACTGCACAGGGCCTCGTCCCAGGCTTCCGTTCTATTCTGAGGGTCACCAGGCTCCCCTGCAGAGATTCTCGGTCGTGCTGCCAGCCTACACGGAGGTGCTTCATTTTGCCCGCCCCACAGTCACTTCCCATAGCATTGGATGGCCCTCGGTTCTTGGTGACTCATAGTGGTTCGGTACTCTGTACAATGTAACCTTACTATTTCCGATGTCACACATACGAGGAAGCAGAGAAAATAATAGAAACCTGGGTTTCAAGAACACAAGCAGTCACAGATGGGCCTCACATGAGCACAGTGATGGATATATATATATATATATATCCATCCAAAAAAAAGAAATTTTTTTTTTTCTTTTTTTTTTCTTCCCCTGGTGCTGGGGATAGAGCCCAGGACCTTGCACATGCTAAATAAGCACTCTCCCACTGAGCTATACCCCATCCATGAATTGATTTTTATAAATGACCCAGGATCTCTGGAGCTATCTGTAGTGTAAGGTGGCAAAGGGGACCCGTTATAGAGAACACCCAAACATTTTGCAAGAGTCTAAAGGAAAGTGGTGTGGCTAATGAACATTTATGAAAGGCACTTGGCCTTTCTTCTGTGTAAGAATCTTGAAGAAATGTGCTGGGAAGAAGTGTTGAGATCACTACCACTCAACATTAGAAAGGAAATTTTTTTTTTTTTTTTTTTTGGTTTTTCTCCGGTACCGGGAACCGAACTTACGACCTTGCGCTTGCCAGGCAGGCGCTTTGCCGCTGAGCTAAATCCCCAGCCCCAAGAAAGGAAATTTTGCTATTACTACTTAGGTTTAATGTTTCTGCCCATCCCACCCCCCAAAAAAAGACAAGACAAGGTGATGTGTTTCTTTGATGGCTGAAGGGGGAACTGATAAAAATCTAGGGATCCCAGGATTTTGTGTATCTCGTGTTCACATATAGATCCCCCTTTTATTTTTATTTTTTTTATGTTTCATTTTTCTTCCAGGAAAGCATAACTTCAATGCCACTGTATCCTGTAGTTGTTCCCCAGAATTAGGAAATGATGCTCACAGATTTTTCTGTGGTCAAAATGTGTTTTTAGGTTCAACAGTATTAAAATTGTGAATAACCAAACTTACGACACTTATTCCCGACTTTGCAGGGGGAAGTTTGGCTTCTTTTTATACTCTTTCCCCACTCTTCCCTGAAACCATGATATCAGGATTCCCAGTTCGTGTCAGGCTCGTACTGACTCAGCAGGGCAGCCCATTTTATAAATGTCATCATCTTAAGCACATCTCCCGTGCTTTAGGCATCAGAATAAGTGGACAGTTTTTAAACGTTTGGTTTTGTTTCTAGGCCAAAATGAACATTACATAAGCCTACAACTTTAAACCAACATTGATTCAGTTGTCTTTAAACGAAAGACACATCTTTGGCTCCCTATAATAAACCATAGAGAGAGGAGTTGGGATTTTATTTCATTTCTTTGTGAAAAATAGATTTCTTGTTGACCCAGAAGTAATCAAGTTCTTATCTTTCCCTCCTCAGGTGTATGTGGCAGCCTTTGCCATATCCGCATATGCGTCCAGCTACTACAGAGCTGGGAGCAAGCCGTTTAATCCAGTCCTTGGAGAAACCTACGAGTGTGTTCGAGAGGACAAGGGCTTCCAGTTTTTTGCGGAACAGGTGGATGTGTACCACTCTGGGGCGGGGGTACTTATGCCTGCCTTTAAGTGTGCTTCTAAAATACTTTCTCTCTTTCATTGGCTTTAGAGCAACTGAGATCATTACAGTGCTTTGAAACATAAAGCCAGGGATCCATTTCCCTTCCACTGAAACCCAGCCACTACCCATGGCCATAAAACGGCAAATAATTCTGAGCACTCACTGGGCTGCATGCGCTAACAGTGTCCTTTCTCTGTAAACTCATAAGCAAAAAGAGTTTTCCAAGCATGGAGTGCTTGTCCCGTTTGTCACTCAGAGATTGGAAACCCCCTGACTATGGGCACTGTCATCCCGGAGCCTGACTGCTCCTCAGAATGGGCAGCACCACTGGAACGCATCGTTCTCATTTTTGTGTATTTAGTCATTCATTTGTGTATTCATTCATTCAGTCAACAAGTTCTGTCTTGAATGCAACACGTGGGCGTCACTGTTCTAGGCGCTAAGATGCTGCAGTGTGGGGGAGGCTGGGGAACCGGGCAAGGATCCCCATCGTCGTTGCATGGATGGACACACATACTTCATGCAAATGGGACCCGAGACCCTTTCTACGTAAGAACGGGCACAGGATAATTTTCAAGAGTTAAGCAACCTGCGTTCAGTCTCAGCTGTATCTCTTAACTGCATACCCTGGGGCAAGTCACTTAGCTTCTCCGAGCTATAGCTTCCTCTGTAACATGGGGGTGATGATCATTATATGTGCTTCACATGCCTTTGTGATGATTAAATGACACCTGAGACACAGTTAGACGCGTGAACCATACATGTTGTGTGTGTGTTTTCCGGCACTGCCAGTGTGCGTCAGCATGGTGTGCAATGGTGGAATATTGGGAACGCGGAAAGTATCTGCGATGAGCAGTGATTGCAGTCAGAGTGCACACGTTCAGAAAGTGAAAAATAACCCTTCCTCATCTTATTTAGCAGCAGCTGAGCATGTTCTCCTTCACTGTATCCCAAAGTGTCACCCGAGGGCCAGTAAAGGTCACTGATTAGCTACATTCCTCTCCTTCCAGTTCTTAGAGGAAAAAGAGGGAGGATGAATTGCAGTATATTCTTTCCCTTCCAGTTGTCCTGCTGCCCTCTTTCACACTGGACTTGCCTCGTGAGGCTCAGAAGAGAAGGGTGGTGTGACCAAGAGACAGCTATAAACAATGAGCCATGCTGTCTGAACGCCAAGAAAGATGAATCTACAATCACCTCAAAGCAAATTGTCAGTAGCTTCCCAGTTAACGAGCTAAAATAAGAAACTGAATACTGGCTTGTACTAGGTTGGTGAGGGGTTAAATCAGTACTTAAGGGAATGAGTTAATCTGTCTGATTCAAATTCAACTGGGCTATTTAAATACTGAACCTAAAACGGAAAGAAAATGTAATTTGGTTACCATGGTATTATACTCTTGTGAGAAAAAAAAAAGGCCCAAACTATAGCAATCAGGATAGGATGCAGAGGCATAAAGAAAGAGTAGTGCTGGGCATGGTGGTGGCACATGCCTGAATTCCCAGAACTCTGGGAGGCTGAGGCAGGAAGATCACAAGTTCAAGCTCAACTTGGGCAACTCAACAATTTAACAAGACCCTGTCTCAAAATAAAAAATAAAACAGGGGCTGGAGGTGTAGCTCAATGCAAAGGCTCTGGGTTCAATCCCGAGTACTGCAAATAAAAGAAAAAAAAGAAAGAAGGCCAGGAGGGAGGGAGCTAAGGGTACAGGCTTCTGAAGGACTAATGTAATAAATGGAGGAGGCCCTAAATTAATATTTTTCACGAAATTCTATCCTAAGGAAGATGTAGTTTAAAATCTTATCCCGGCTGGGCATGGTGGCACATGCCTATAATCCCAGCATTTGGGAGGCTGAGGCAGGAAGATCATTGTGAGTTCGAGACCAGCCTGGGATACAAAGTGAGCTCAAGGCCAGCCTGAACTGCATAGCCAAACCTATCTCAAAAAGACCAAGGGGAAAAAAAAAGAAAAAAAAAATCTCATCTCTGAGATACAATGTGGCAAACATGCTGTTTTTTCCAAATGACGGAGTCTTTAGAGTAACAGCTCTCTCCTGCAGTACCAGGACTGTATCCCTCTAGTTTAAGGTTGTGGGTGTTGGAGGTGGTAAGTGTCCCAGGACATGAAGTAGTTGCAGCTTCCGAGAGTTCAACTACACAGAAGCTTGCTTCTCTATGTTTTTTCTCATCCCAAAAACCTAGAGACACAATATCATAGCTACTCATGGTCAGAAGCCTGAGAAAATATTCCTTGTTCAGATTTTCCTAGTCACAATTAAGTACTAGGTTTGTAGACTACTTTATGCTTTCAGATGAGCACATGATCTTATTTGATCTTTAAAATCGTCCTGTGTGGTGGGCATGTGAGAAAACCCAGGCCTACAAGCAAAGAAAGCCAGGCCTCCGGGATTAGCATCCCGTGCCGAACTGGTGCTGGGCCCACCTCCCCTGTAGTGTTCTTTCTCCCTCACACTCTTTGGGGTGTCTTGTGCAGATTTAGTTATTGTGCTCAGGGCTACCAAGAGTTGCGGGGCATGGATATAAAAATCGCCTGTTTGTGTACTCTTCAGATGAAGGCGCTTTGCCTGTCGCTGTCACTTGAACCTTTCATCTTCAACACTGCCATAGGACTTGTTCTCAACTCCCATTTGGGGTGGATGTGGCCTTGGTGAATGAGAGGCGTTCACCGAAGAAAGCATAAACATTGCTGTCCTTTGTTCTAACCTGTGGTGCCCCACCTTCTCCAGGGTGTCCTGTGTGCCAAGAAATGACACAGCCTGGGCTTTCTAAGTAGGCCGAGGAAAGGGACAGTATGGAGAGAGCGGCCTTCCTTCCTTCCCTAGCTGTCAGGCACTCAGTACCCTCCCCGTGCTTGCTCCTCGCTGCCTTCTGCTGACTGGCGGAGCTAATGCGCTAATTTTGAGCTTTGTGGAGGGATGCATGGGCCAGAACTCCATTCAGTTAGCTCTGCAGCTTTCTTTGTACCTTTGAAAAGGTGTGGGTTGAAAGCAGATGCAAATAAGCAACTACGTAACAGCAGCTTTCCTATGCACCGTACATGGGACTTCAGTTGTCAGAAGTTTGTTCAAGTAATCTTAACCATTTACCCATCCTGCTGTATATGGTTGACAGAGACACTGAATGTGCTTAGTAAACATTATAAAAGTTACTGAAATGTAAGAAAGTCAAGTGCAGTCTTTTTTCCTTTGCTCCATGGGCTCAGCATGACCTGCTTTTCTGCTGCTCGTTTGGAAAACTCTGAACATACATTCTTGCACATATTTCTAAATGTCACTCTTATCAGCTCTCTCCTTGAACACTTACATCACTCTCTGAAAAGTTCTTTTTCTCCAGCAGATAGTTATTTACTGCAGATCAAAGTTGCATTACCTTTAAAGACACCATAAGGAAGAAATTCACGCTGTCCAAACAAAACTAGCAGTAACTCGAATATAAGGTAAAGAAGCCGTTGCTTTGTGGTTTCTAGGTTAAGTTTCTGGGTTAAGTCATCACGTAATGCATTCTTGTTTTTGTTTCACAAGAAGCCACGTATTTATAAGTGATAAACTTTGAACTTTGCCCACTGCATCTCCCCCACATCAGCCAGTCTGCTTGGCTTCATCCTTCATAACCCTTTGTCTTACAGTCCACATCCTAGCTATCAGCAAACCCAGGGTCTCCTTTAGAAGCTTTCCTTTCCTTTCCAAAGCAGCTATTTCTCTGCCTCCTCCCTGCTACTGACTGGCTGGCCCAAGTCAGTACTCTCTCACTTCTTCACTACTCCACAGGTGTCCACGAGTCACTGACTTGCCAGGTTTTTGGATATATCATCTCAGTTCTAAAAAGTGTTTCTATGGCATGTCTCGCTTGCATCAGTGTGGATCGCTATCTTGCAATCACCAAGCCTCTTTCCTACAATCAACTGGTCACCCCTTGTCGCCTGAGAACGTGCATTATTTTGATTTGGATCTATTCCTGCCTAATTTTTAAGCCACCAAAATCAGTGACAGAGACTGTTGCCCTGAACTCATTAGCTGGTCTCTTCTTTCCACAGCCAATTCCTTGCCCTGAAAGCAGAGTGGTTTAAACAGAAGCCACATCTTCCCTGTACCCCTCCACGACTTCTCAAGTCACATAGAATAAGATCCAGGGTCCAGAGCCACAGAGCCCTTCCACGCCCAGCCCAGCCCAGCCACCATACCTTCCCCGGCTCAGCTGCGGCCACACCGGCCTCTTCATTTCCTCTAATTCATACTGAGGGTTTCCAGTCCTTGGCGTAGGCTGTGTCCTCTGTCTGAAATGCACTCCTCTGAGATAACTGCGTGGCTGGCTTCCTTAGATCCCTTAGCCTCCAAGATTTCCATCCTTGTAAGCCCTGCCCCTCCACCTGTTGGGAATAGCACTCCTGCTCCCTGGGCCCCATCTTCGCACCCTGCTTTACCTTTCCAACACCTGTTCTGCTGACAGGCCAGGTGCTTATTTATATGTTGTCTATCTCACTGTTACTGCCTAGCGAGGGCCCTTTGCTTTTAGTAATGACAGAAATTAAAGCACAGATTTATAGAAAACTTTAATTAGAAAATAAGAGAAAATAATAAGGAGTTTTCACTTCAAAAGCTGACAAAGATCAGATTGGCCCTTAACAAAGGAGTATAAGAAAAATAGGAAAGAATTCCAGCTTGAGCAGCTGTAGAAGGCACACTCTGAGGAAGGGGATCAGACCGACCTGCCCACAGGGACATGCAGCCAGCTTTCAGGGATCAGCTGCTGGGCTTGGATCCATTGGTCATTCTCCCAGTTCTGTCTTTTTTTTTTGTCTTTTTTGGTTTTTCTCTGGTACCGGGAACCGAACTCACGACCTTGCGCTTGCCAGGCAGGTGCTTTGCCGCTGAGCTAAATTCCCAGCCCCTTATTCTCCCAGTTCTGGTTTCCCAGCTCTGGAATCTTCACGGTCTGAGGGGCTGTT